AAGCATTCAGATTTTTTTGAGCTGTGAGTTTGCTGAATGTTTGTAAGAATTGTCCTTTAAATCAGGTAATCGTACCCTAATGCACTGCTTATTTGCCATAAGCCTCTGACTCGTTTCAGTATGTTTAACTGGACTGCAGGATTTGCTGAGCAAAACAGCAGAATCCAAATAAACAGATGTTTTTTCCTATATGCATTATGGGCATACATTTGACTGCCAGCCAACCTGGCAGCTGCTCACTGATTCACTCACCTCCCTGAAGTAGAACAGAGACTAGAACAGGAAGAACAAAAGGAAGAAAACTTGTGAGTCAAGATAAAGGCAGTTTAATAGATGAAGGAAAGAGGAAAGGGAAACCCCATACAAAGGAAATCACTGACTACCTCCCATAAATGGACCAGTGTTCAACCAGTCTCCAAGCAGCAGCCAACTCAAAAGTCATCTCCTTCTTCTGCCTCCTTTTTATTGTTGAGCATGATGCTGTGTGATATGGAATATCCCATTAATCAGTTTGGGTCATCTGTCCTGGCTGTATTCTGCTGTCAAGTTTCTTGACCATCCCCAGCATACCTCCCTGGGTGGGGATGATGACAAAGTGGGGAAAAATAGAAAGTCCTGACTTTGTGCAAGCACGATACAGCAGTAGCTGTAGTGTTGCTGTGTTATCAACACTGTTTTAGTCACGAAACCAAAACACAGCACCATTCATGCTGCTATAAATAAAATTAAATCTATCCCAGCCAAACCCAGTACCTACATGGACAGTTTTGGATGAAAAATAAAAGATTATGTTGAATCCTTAGAATGACTTGAACTAAATTCAGTTCAAAGATTAAATGCGCATGCCATACATGACATTTAATGTTTCACTTATCTTCTCAAATGAAGAGCCACTGATGGAAGGCATGATCCAAGTCCATTTCTATTTCCAGCTGCAAGCTTACACTTCTTGAGTAAACTGTGGTACCCTACAGCTGCAGAGTGAGTTGGATCAACCAGTGATGCCATGCAAAAAGATGTAGTTTTGTAGTGGCTCAGCAGACTGAACCAGCTCTCCTGTGGCTGCAGGCTGATGCAGATGAGAGGAAAGGAGAATGAGTTCAGAAAAGGCAACAGGCCAAGAAACACCTGTTTGGCAGTAAGCTTTGGTTAGGTGCAGCATGAATCCACATGCTCCATTTGCACAAGAATGAGAGAAAACACAAAACATAATGCAGCCACGTTCAGCTAAGAAAATAAGAACCACAACATTCCATATGTAGGGATCATATTCTATACTTCTCATGTAAGTAGAGAAATATCCTCTAAAATCAGAATAATCTTTCAGATTATCAGATGTATCTTAAATTCAAGGCTGAATGGAATTTTTGATGCAGGAATTCTATTTATGTGATATAGCTGCACTAATAAAAAGGGGCAAAAGGGATAATGTATTACTTTCGCATGAGAGATTAGAGAATTTTTCTCTTCAAAATGTTTTAAGCAGACTTCAGATGCCTTGCAATAGGCCATTTTGCTGAAACTGCCAGCACAAGTGGAAATCTCACATGCTTTTTGTCTGTTAAGCGTATAGGCAGTTACAGAATCATAGAATGTTAAGGGTTGGAATGGACCTTACAGATCATCTAGTACCACCCCACCCCTGCCATGGGCAGGGACACCTCCCACTAGACCAGGTTGCTCCAGGCTTTATTCAGCCTGGCTTTGAGCACTGCCAAGGTTGGGGCATCCACAGCCTCCCCAGGCAACCTGTTCAATGTTCTGGATTATGTGAAACTCAGATCCTACAACAGCAGTAATTTCTCTCTGTAAAAGAATTGAATAAAACCCATGAAAGTAATCAGGCAATAACAACAGCAAAGTGCATCAGCATGGCTGACAATCCTTTGAGAGTTTCACAAGATTCACAGTGTTTTAGATGAAGTTCTCTGGCCTTCAGAGACCTTAAGGAATTCACAAACTTAGTGCTTTGACTGCTGTCCATGCCAGTATCATAGTCAGAGTGAGAGCTGTGTTGCAGAACATAGGGTGTTTGTGCTTCATAAAGAAAGTAAAATTCAGGGTTTTAGGAAGTTTCCATTCCTCAGTTTTAGCCTAAAGAAGACAGAAGAAGACATTCAATTGTGGGAATTGGATGTCAGCAGAGTGTGAAATGTCAAGTACTGTTAAGAAAAAAAGTGCTGCTCTTGAATAGAAAATTTTGTTCCACTTTTTTAAAAACATTTCTCTGTAGATCCTACTTTTTTAACAAGAGATGACGAATCATGCTGAAATCAAGAAAGTTTTATTTTTTCTAAAATTGAATTCAATTGGGTTTTGTTAATTCATTAACTTATCTTTAAAATTTACGGATCCTTCCTACCCTACAAATATTCTTCCTGCAAATGAAATAACTTTAAATATAAGAAAAGGAGGAATATGACACTGATTCCTAATCATTCACTGATGAGCAGAATTATAGGGAAGAATGTATATTATTAGTAGGTTTCAAATTGATTTATAAGAACCCACATTTTTGCTGAAAAAAAACTCACAAAACCACAGAGAGGCAAAATGAGAAGGCTGAGGACGTCTGCTCTACTTGTTTCTGTAATAGTTGTTCTATATGGCCAGGTCCTATTTTTCTGCCTTAAACACAACCCACTCCATCGGGGCTGAGTGGATTCTTTCAATTAGGGAGTGTGGCCACCTACTGGGGAAAAAACAGTGTAAAAACAACATACATCAACAATGTACAGAATGTCAAAAAATGGCAATACGTTTAGCACAGGTAGAGAGCCACGTAGAAATACAAACAAAAGTCCCAGTTTCCTGTGCCTGTTTATTGCCAGCTAATTTTTGCATTACTGTACTTTGCTCTTGCTCTGTATAAATAATTCTCCCTTCTGCTGACAGCTCTATCCTTGCCCAGTTACTTCGCTCAATGAGATCAAATGAATCCCTGATTTCTAACACCTGGAGTTTTGTTCAAATCACTATTAGGTCTTTACTGCATAGAAATTGCACCTTACAAATGACTGCATCACAAGGCATGACGTAACCAATCATTTTATTTATTAAAGTATCAGCAATCATTGTTTTATTTGGCAGGAGCACTCTAAGCAGCAACAAATGTGACTGAAATATGAACTGAACTGAACACATGAAGAATTAGCAAGAGAATTTACATGGATGTTCTGTATTAGTGGTGTGGTACAGCCATGTCTACAGCAGGAAAACATACTTTTGTAAAAGGGCACCAGCCAGAGCTAGATCATAGTTGATGCTAACATGACACTTCTTACCTGGAGAAGTCTAAGCTATGTTTACACATGCTGGAAGTTGGCTGATCATGGCACTGACATGTCCTGTTGACTTTACCAGCTGGAGCAGGTCATCAAGCACCCCTACTGCCTGGTGAGCAGGTCATCAGAGAGTGATCACTGCCTGAGTGTCTCACCTTCCACTTGTGGCAAAGGGTTCTGAGAATTCAGTTTTAATATAGCATCCTTCATTTAATATCCTTATCAAACAAATGTTAGAGCGGAGAATAAAATGGTAGCAGCTGGTGGTGTTTGTTGATTAATTACGATCGAGGTCTGTATGTTTATCTAAAATTGGTTTTGCCATCACAGGACTATAGAGAATGGAGCAGGATGTGATTAAATTTAGATGTTTTGCTGGGAAGAAGGGGAGAGTTTTCCAAATGTCATTTGAGAATGATGACCTGAGAAGAAAAGTCTTTATAAGAGCTGAGAAGCTCTTAAACAGTGTTGAAACTTGTTCAGTCTTTACTTACACTGCTTTTCTGAAATAATCCATATCTATTTCTAAAAGGAAAACACAGTGGTTTAGATATACGAAGTGTTGACTCATTTAAGACAAACAGTAAGAGCATTCACGTGTCTTGATACATGGGTAGTGCTGACAGGCTGCTCTCACCCACCTCCGTGCCCTTGTGTGGGTGGGAGTTGCAGTTTTATCTAGAGGAACAGTCTCAGCATTCAGTATTTTATTGATATGTTTATACAAGCAGCAACATCTGTGAAAGAGGCTGCACTTTTTTATTACAATAATAATGATTTAAAGTTTGATCAGACTTCTGACCATGTAAGACCTCGTTTCAACCCAAAGAAGACTCAACCCACCTTTCAGAAAACTGGTTAATATTCAAGGACTTAGCAACTGCTCAAAGAAATGTGCTACTTCTGCAGTCGGGCCTTAAGGTTATTTACTTGGATTATGACAGTTACAAAATAGCCTCAGTGTACTTTGTTTCCTGACTTTCTCTGAGAGGGCATGAGGGAGATGCAGGGGAGATGGTAGGTGAGAGGACTGGGCTGTACAGGGGTGCTGGGTGCGAGGGAGGTGACAGGGTGCTGTGGGGGATGTTGGCACCTCCCACCTCACTCGAGCGCTCCCATCGCTGCCTCCCCAGGGAAGAGGCTGGAGAGAGGCTGGAGGAAGGGCAGCACGGGGGATGCACAGACCCACCTCTCTGCGTCCCTCCCTTCTCTTCCCAACACCCCCACCAAAAATGCATGTGGCTCCTTTCCCCCTCCTTTTATCAAAACAGGAACAATGAGACAACATCCTGCGCATAGCATCAAATCCCAATTTGGCTAGTTATGTGTTTTGTCACAAAGGGTTTGGTTATGCCATGTTTCTTGATTTCATTGTTTAGGATGGAAAGCTGCTTCCTGAAGGCGATACAGTCGCGAGTTGCCTCACTGAGGTGTTACCCAAGGTGAGTTGGTTTGGCAGATGCTGATTGTGAACTTTCACAATGATTTCCCATTAGCTACTCTACTTTGAGATAAGCCCTGAAAAACAACAACAACAAAAAAAAGAAAAGCAGTGAAGCCTTAGTGTTTTTTTCCCACATCCCTTCTCTTTAGAAATTACTGTTTCTTCCTTTCAGTGTTAGTTTTTGTCACATGGAATTGCAAACAATAGTTGCCAGGGCTGAAAAGCACTTCTGGCAGTTCTTTTTTCACTTCACATGTTTTACAAAAGTCACCATGCCTGTGGTGTATTTATTTCCAGGTATATCAGCTGGTGAGCTTATAAACCCACCAAAAACCTCTGAGCAAGTGAATAAAGAAGCCAGAGAAGGACATGATCTGTACATTGTGTCACACGATGATTATTATGCAGGTAAGTTGAAACGCTTATAAGAAACTGCATAAAAGGTTCCTCTATGCATGTTCAACATGTCTTGCATGTTATTTTTTTGTGATAGAAACTATTAATTTTTACTACTGCATTAATGCAACATAAATAATTTTGAAAAGTAGTTAAGTGAAAAAATATGCAGCTGAGAGAGCTTGATCTGTTTCTAGAACTGCACATCACTTTGTGATGGGTGTATTAAATGGTATAAGAACTGAATGAAGGAGTTGGAAGCCTGATTTGTTTTGGGTGCTGTTTGAAAAACAAAGTATTTCAAAAACCCTCGAAACTCATATATACCCAGGTCATTATTTTGACATTGTCTATGCCGCTGAAAGCAATCTCAGCCTTAAAATTATTCATCTTCATTATGACAAAATTTTGAAAGTTAGTCAAGTAATCAGTGTTTGGATTGATGGTGTTTTAACGTTGTGTTTAATAACTAGGGAATAAAGTGAATAGTTAGAAAGCAAAAAATGTAAGTGGCTCAAAGTTACTTAATTAGTCAAAGCCAGAGAAAGCTTGTTCAGATTCTGCATAAACTTTTATACGTGCTTTACTATGTAGTGTAATAAAGTTATATATTTTAAATGTGTGAGTATGCTTGTCCTATGAAGAACAGCAGAAGGGAGTGAACAAAAGAATTCGTTATTAACAAGTAGAAAATAATGCATGTGCATTGCTTTAGAAGGGAAATAGGTGAGCTCCTCCTGTTTGTTACTGGACTCTTAATGAACTTCTGGCACTCTAGAAAGTGACCTCGGTGTCTTGGGGATTTGGATGAAGATTGTAGCTCAATGTGCCAAAGTGTTTAAAAATATTAATGAAGTTAGGATACATAGAAAATGGGAACAGTAACACAAAAATAGTACATTGTCTTTCTAGAAACCAATGGTATATAATTGTCTGAAATATTACACTGACTTTCCCATTGATTCTTGTATCTGGAAACTCAACAGAATGGAAGTGGTAGATTAATAATATTTGTTCTTTTGTTCTCCACTATGTGGACATTGAATCACAGAATCAGTTAGGTTGGAAGGGACCACAGTGGGTCATCTGGTCCAACTTCCCTGCTCAAGCAGGGCCATCCTAAAGGACATGGCACAAGACTATGTCCAGACGGTTCTTGAATATCTCCAGTGAGGGAGAATCTACCACCTCTCTGGGCAACCTGTTCCAGTATGCAGAGTAATTCTACATAACTCTTGAGTAACTCTTACTGCTATTAGAAGCTTTTAGAAGCAGTGGATAGGTTCATGAAGATAGACTATGATGTTTTGAAATTTTTGATATTAACTACATATGAGTGGAGAAATGATGGTATGGACTATTGGATCTTTTAATGAAATGGCTGTTTTGGATGTCCAGCAGTACAGAAAATCAGCATTTTGAAACTGAAATTCTCCTTTTCCTTAAGAATGCAAGCCTTTTAATTCTTTTTTAATGTCTGTGTTCTGTATGTGCACAACTAATTGAGGAATTATTTATTTTTATAGGAATTGGTGATCTTCATGGCCAGGTTCCATGTGAGTTCCTCTGTGGTAAGGACAGAGAAAGAGCTGTCTTGTCTGCAGTTCAGCAAAGTTTGAAGAAAGCTACTTTTGAGAATTTTGATGTATTACTGGAAGCTTTCAGATAATATGATAAGGTTAGTGCGCTGAAAAAGTATAAATGTAAAAGAATGGGTGACATTTCTGCTCCTGTGCTATGGAGATACAAGCATGAAGAAACATAAGCATAGCAAGATAGATATAGATGAAGACTATAAAGACAAGGTAACTTCATAGTTATTATATGTTTAATCTACTGTGATATGCTGTGGAATTAAACACAACAGTATTTGGAGTCTTTCACCATAGTATTTGGAATATCCAGGTTAACAGCAAGCAAGAGACATGCAAACAGGAGTAATCTTAGCATTTTCTGCTCTTCAAAATTGGGTGTTTCTTCTTAAAGGAAAAATGGTTGATGGGATTATGTTCATATTTCTTCCAAGCTGTACTTTTTGACTGAGTTGACAAGCATCAGAATTTCAGATCTTTTCTTTTATTCTCTCTGGAAAAAAAATTATAATTGACATTTCCTATGTAACATTAATTGTAATGTATACAGAATGATTGATGTCTTGCTTTCAAAGAAATCTTGGCTTTGCTTCAACATTTATGATTAGATTGTTACCTTGTCACAATACCCTGTCACACCCTTTTACTTGCAAGTACTGTATTATTTAAGTTGAAAATTACTTTTTGACACCTTTACATTCAGATTTCTATTTTTTAAATTACTGAGGGTTTATTTTTGTACTCAGCAATGTTACTCTACTTGAAATGGTGTGTCTGGTGTCATTTTTGTATGTTTCACATGTATATATAAAATATATATTTAATATAACACATGTATGTGTTTCTTGATGGAGCCAGTTTATAATGGCTGTTATAGAATCATAGACTGTAACAACTGTTTTATTTTGTTTCTGACAGACTGGTGATGGAATGATAAACAAGGAAGATATACGAAAGTCCTGTTTTCAGCTTAATCTGAATCTAGATGTTGAGCTGCTGGATTCCTTATTGGACTGTTGTGATTTGGATAAAGATGCTCTGAATCATTATCTGGAGTTTGCAAACTTTCTGAACTGGAAAGACAATATGGCTGGTAAAGAATTTGAATTAAAAATGATTGCAAAAGGTTTGATGCCTTAATACTGGGAAATTGTGAGGATCATCTTGTTCTTAGAACAGCTATTGAAAGGACATTGCTGTTGTAAACTAGGTGCTCCTTTAGAAGGGTAGGATTTAGAGAGTGCTTTACCTTGCTTACTACCAGCAGAGCCTCAGGTACGGATGCATTTCAGAACCTGAAGTTCTGTGTTGCATGCTGAGATTGTCACTGGGAAGTTTCCTTAACACTATAGATCAGGAGAAAGTAAAATATCTCTTCGTGTCATGGTCAGAAATGCAGATAAATTTTGTTACCTACTTTATAGTTCTTCAAGAAATGTTTTTTAGCTCTCAGTCTATAATGTGTTGATAATATATCCTGGCTGTGCTATAACTTTTGTTTATAGGGAAAAAGTCATATGTCTCTGTTGTTCCTGAAGACAGACAGATAAATGATGAGCCCCAGGTGAAGCAGGATAATCTTGTGCTTAAAGAACCAGCAAGCACAGAAAAGACATCAAAACCGCTTACAAGATCAACAGACCACGTGCTTGCAAATTATCAAACAACATCTTTTCAGTATAATGCTGTAGTAGGTGGTCTCCCAACATCTTGTAAGTGCACTGGACTGTGCTTCTTACTTCTGAGCATTATTGAAGATGAAATCAGGAACAAACTTTAAAAGTATTGCTACAGGTTCTACGAATGTACAACAGTGAATTAATTTATCTATAATAAGTTCATTTAAGATTGTGGCTTGAAAGTTGGAATGGCTAATCCATTCAAAACATGAAAGTTAATTTAGATACCTTTGAGAAATTTTGCTGATTATTTTAGGAGAACCATAGCTTCTTGGAATCACCTGAAATATTTTCAGCTGGAAGCATTGGCTAAGTCCTAGAATATTGCTGCAAGATTAGCTGTTGTCATGCTTCATGATGTAGCTGAAGCCAGGATTTCTAAAAAGATTAAAAAAGATATGAGGAAAAAACTTATATAACTTGTTATTGAACCTATGTGAGATGAAGTATCACATTTTTTATTTCATACAAAATGTTTTATCCTCCCTGTCACTGTCTTTACATACAGGCCATGCTGCCTGTTTGATTTCCACAAGTTATCCACTGTGTGGTGTTCCAACTGTTTGTTCAGATATTCCTGCTCCTCGAATTTGCCGCATCAGTGGCAGAACTAATTATGGTGATCAGGTCAATGCATTTGCAGTATTTTTCTCTTCTTTCTTCAGCTTAAAGGGAGTGTGTGAAAGAGAGCTTTTAAAAAAGAAACCAAAGGCAGAGGTATAGTGATTTTCTTTATTCTTCCAAAATAATTGTTCCCCTAGCCAAATGGGAGTGGAAAATCATATTATCAAATAAACAGGTTGTAACATTCATTGTTGTAACATTACCATCTTTCTTTGCATCCATCCAGCTATCTGAAAAGTATGGACTCTGCACATTCAAAATTATTCATAAAACTGGTAGATATTAATTTTATTGAGATTCAACTCTAGTAAGTAATATAAGTAATATAAGGAACTGTGTCAGGTAGTTGCTACTCACGTGCTGTGTCAAATGAGGATTGGTAATTAATTTAGAGCTTAGGAATCTTTGACTCGTGATTTCTGCAATGTGAGAAGAGCAAAACAGTTGTGAGATTTCCATCATTGAACACATTTGAATTTCTGAGCAAGGTGTCAAGCAACATGGTGTAATGATAAAGCTAGCCCTGCTTTGATTATGTGGTTGGATGGATGATCGTCAGTGTTCTCTTCCAGCATAAGTTATTCTATGATTCCATGAGGTGTTTTCAAAAGCCCCACAAGAAGATTTTTACAGCTTTATAAAATTAGATTCTATCACAAAGGGATGTTCAATGGAAAATTTTTCCTCTCCTCAAACAAACTTGCAGGTTTTGCTAATGGTACATTCAGCAAACCACTTGACTATATGTTTAAGGTCTCTGGAGAGTCACAGTCATAGGCTCAGATCTACAAAGGACTTGTAGAGTGATAGAGGATATTGGTAGTCACACAGCAATGCTGTGTCATCTCATCCTTCTGAAGAGGAAGATAGGACATAAGACTGTAGGGACTTGGGAACTCGGATTTTTCTATCTAATATCTCTCAGGATTGCTACCACTCTGTTTCCTCATATACCAGAGTTCCTCCCATATAAATGCTAAAACAACTTTGTTTCTTCTTCTTCTTCAGTATTGTTTACTCTTTTGCTTCTACATTCGTATGCAATTTATAGTGAAAAAATATTAAGAGGTAATTTTGTTACCTGAAATGCAATCTATGAGACAATTGTAATGAAATGTGAAATTCCAATCTAACATGAGAAAAGAAGCCTTGGCAACCTCTTCCTCCCTACTGCTCATTATATTAAATATTCAATCACATTTGAAAGTAGATCTAGAACTCAAATATATATTTTACAGAAAATAATGTTGGTCGTTAGTGTCTGGGGATGTGAAAGGTGTGGTGTCATGTTCTATACATAGCCATAAAACACCTTGTCAGAATGTTGTGTACATGACCATTTACCATTTTATAATCTAGCTCTGAAGCAGGAATTGTGTGCATGAAGAATATAGCTAAGAGTAAATAGGGTTCATGCTTCATTGAGAAGCCAATTACATCTGTCAAGCACCAGATAGAATTCTTCTTTGAAGTTCTAATGTGTCCTGAGATGTCATACTGTATTGTAGATTATAACAGCTGTACAGAACTCAGTGCAAAACCACCTTGGAGTCTCTTAAATTTGTTGCTGAGCAGAGCTTATGAAGAGCCAAGGCCTTTGCTGCTTCTGGTACTGCCACACTAGCAAGAAAGTTGGGGTTCCATAGGAGATTAGGAGGAGACACAGCTGGGACAGGAGACCCAAACTGACCAAAGGGATATTCTATACCATACGACATCATGCCCAGTGTATAGAGGGATGAAGAAGGAAGAAAGGGGACATGTTTGGAGTGATGTCATTTGTCTTCCCAAGTAATTGTTATGTTTGACGGGACCCTGCTCTCCTGGAGATGGCTGAACACCTGCCTGTGGGAAGCAGTGAATTGATTTCTTGTTTTGCTTTGCTTGTGTGTGTGGCTTTTGTTTTACCTACTAAACTGCCTTTATCTCAACGCATGAGTTTTCTAGCTTTTACCCTTCCGATTCTCTCCCTGATCCCACTGGTGGGGGAGTGGGTGAGCAGCTGTGTGGTACTTGGTTGTTGGCTGGGGTTAAGCCCTGACACACATCAATATTCTTCTAAAGTTACCTTCCTCTAATGAGTCAACAGGTCAGTGTAATGAGGCATGCAACAGGAAGCATCCAAGTGAGAAAATACCAAAAAAACCCCTTTTGCTGTATTATTTTGGTGTAAAATTATAGCAAGGCCCAGAGTTGATGTGAACAATTTAATTTTAGTCACTTCACCCACTTACCTATACCAACTGAAGATCTTGTGTTTAGTATTCTTGCTGTGAAATGCAGACAATAAGAAAATATGATTTATATTGTTAACTGCAAATAGCAAAAATAGAATGAATAAACAGAACTTGACTTAGGGCTTTTGAAAGGCATTTACTTCTCCCTGAGTCTTCTGTGTTTGATTTTTGCAATGAAGTAGTGCATCAACATTGCTTCATTAATTACAGACAATTTTGTACAGTTTTCATCCCAATAAGATTCCAATTTACATAAACAGGAACTTCTTTGGTTAAGGGTGCAGGACACGGTCTGTAGTTTTATTTAAGAGTGGGAAAATATTATTTGGCAAATCAAGATTGCTAATGTATGTAAAAGCCAGGCTCCACATAGTTTTACAAAATGCTCACCAGAACTGCATGAATTGTCTTGTTTTTGTAGATTGCTCAAATTCTCCACAACATCGGCATGAACATTTCAGATGAAAGGCTTGAAGAGATATGGAACCAAGTCTGTATGAATATACATCAGAAAAAAAGAAGTTTGTGAAGAAAGTGTCTGGAATATACTGGATGAGATACATAGATGAGAGACAAAAAAACCATTGCTAATTCTAGTCACTGGGCATTGCATTTATTTAGAGTAACATCAGTCATAGCTCTGATGCTGAACACAATAAATATTTTCAATAATGTATGTTTATTGAGCTAGAATTCACTGTGTATTGTCTTTCTGAATAGTGGATTCACC